AATGGAATTTTATGTAAGAAGTGGGAAATAGTAAGAGCTGGAGAGGACAGGAACTCCACAAGGAGAGCAACAGAACAAGAAAATTTGAACAGGGAACTTCCCAGAGACTCATACTCCAACCAAGGACTATTCATGGAGATAACGTAGAACCCCTTCACAGATGTAGCCCATGGCAGGTCAGTGTCCAAGTGGGTTACCTAGTAATGGGAAGAGGGACTGCCTCTGACATAATCTGATTGGCCTGCTCTTTGATCACCTCCCCCTGAGGGGGGAGCAGCCTTACCAGGTCACAGAAGAGGACAATGCAGCCACTTTTGATGAGAACTGATAGACTAAGATCAGAAAGGAGAGGAGAACCTCCCCTATCAGTGGACTTGGGGAGGGGCATGCATGCAGAAAAGGGAGGGAGGCTGGGACTGGGAGGGGAGGAGGGAGGGGCTTATGGGGGGGATACAAAATGAATAAAGTATAATTAATAAAAAATAAAAAAAAGAAAAAGAAAAGAAATGCCCTATGGGGCTTGCCTACAAACCAATCTGATGTAGGGAATTCCTCAATTGAAGGTCCCACCTTCCAGATGATTCTAGCTTGTGTCAAGTTGACAAAAAAAAGGAAAATAAATAAATAAAAACACTAACATGCCCACTCAGACTGCTCTCCTGGATCTCTGATTCTTTTCACACAAAACCAGTCTATAAAATTATGTTTACTGATCTAAGGTTTCCAAAAAACTCTGGAAGTCACCAGAAAACTACATTTCAACGTAACTCTAATTTTAGCTAGGAATATATCCAAGCTGTAAAGGTAGATAGTAATAATTAATTAATGGCTTCCTACAGATTTTTGGTTGATCCAGTCTTTTCAGATATCCTTTACATACACTATTATTCAAAGCATTTATAATACAACTCTGCGAAAAACAATGTACAAGCAGTTACATCTCCACCCTGAAAACTATACTCAAGGTCATACACTATATGCTCTTTAACATTCTATCTGCTTTAAAGTAAAATGTGATGTAGATGAGAAGGATAAAAGTGAACACTAAAGCTAGGCTGCACCCTGAAAATCCCCATAGTTTTCAGTGGTTGCTATGTTTTACTGCAGCTGTGTTACTGGGCAACCACTTAGAAGCTAGGCTGGCAAGCTCAGCTAAAATTAAAGCCAGGATTTATAAAATAACTCAATACTGAACTTCGCCTCTTTATACCTTCACCTAAAGCCACTCTTTGCTATAAGCAGCAGACATGAGATTTCTGGCAAGCTTATTAAAATTACCAACAATTTTAAAGACAGAGTTTGAGAATGACAAGTACTTTCCAAAAAGATAAGATCTGATTTTAGGTCATCCTTTCGCTAAACTTTAATTCTTAAAGTACTTTAGAGTCACAATATACAGAAAGCAGTAACGGAGCATTTTCTAGCTTCCTTGGCTTCTCTCCTCATAGAATATTGCTCAAACACGAAGAAATAGCGCTAGACTTGACATGACAGTCAGTGCTCTTTCTGTAATCCAGAAAGGACAGTCCTAACAGAAAAGAGACAAGTAATGAACTTCAGAGGATTGCTAATTTATGAGAAGCAAATGATTGAGTTTCATAAATTCTGACTGAGCAAAAAGTCGGATGGAAAGAAGTGAAATGAAATGGAGAAAGACCAGGAGGATGCAAGAGGAAGAAATGAATCGAAGACTAAAGGCACTCACATTTTAAAACTAAGGTTCTTCTAGGAAAGAACCAGGGAGTTGACCAACACCAAGCCCAGGGGGAGCAGAGCCAGAATTCCTGAGGGAGTTCTTAGTGATGCTCATGTCATGGGAAATTCGAAAATATTCATACTTTCTAGGAACAAAACCTTTCCTTTTGATTTTTTTTTTTTTTCTGCTTTATTTTAGTTTGGTTTCTCTGTGTAACTCTGGCTGTCTTGGAACTCACTCTGTAGATCAGGCTGGCCTGGAACTGAGATCCACCAGCCTCTTCCTCATGAGTGCTGGAATTAAAGGCCTGCACCACCACCACCTGGCTGATTCCCCCATTCTTTAATCTCCTATCTTGTGGTTTATTGCTGCCTTTCCTACATTTTTCAACTGTGTCTAACTTCTACTATATTGTAGGAAGGGTCAGGGATTCAAGTGAACATTTGTCATCCAAGAAACATCCCTTCAACAATTTCTGTTTAGAAAAAAACAAAGGATATGCTCATGAAACAGGTTAATCCAGTCAAGAAGACAAGATCAAAAAAAAAAAAAAAAAACCATAAAGTCTAAGTACCAAAAAAGTAAGATTCACAAATACATACTGTAGAATTTCAAGTGTCAAGATGAAACTGAACCTTAAAGAAAAGGTATAATTTAGATTTAAAAAAAAAAAAAAAAGGACAGAAACTGGGGCAGGGCAGAAAGAAGTTAAGATTGATAGGAAAGAGAAAGCAGGTTTAAAGGATAATGGAGGAGAAATTAGTTTGGACAAAGGCACTTTTTCCATAATGAATAAGAACTTGGAAAGCCAAAGTGCGACAATTTTGAAGATGTCATTGTAAGTCAAGAACTCAAGTTTGGGGAGGGAGGGATTGAAGAGGTGGCACAGCAGTTAATGAGGGCTTGATGCTCTCAGGGACACCGGGTCTCAGCACCTACATAGGCGGGCTCACAACTGCCAATAACTCCAGCACTAGTCATGGCTCATTTCTTCAGCATTTGAAGGACACAGGAAGCAAGCACTAAAATGAAATCTATAGGTTCTTAGTACGGTGTATAAGCCTGATGTTCCAATTCCCATTGCTAATAGTTTGCATGTAAAGACTTCATTTGTCACAGTTTCAAATCTCTAAGTTTACAGGAATGTGGCTCATACAAGCAGTCCTAGCCCTGGGAAGGCTGAGCCACAAGAATTGCCAGGTGTTCAAAGTCAACAGGGAAGACATCTGCCAGAGCTAAAATACAAGACCAAGCTTCAATTTAGAACAACAAATAAGTAGAAACAAACAGCAACAAAAAGATCATTTAAGCCAATCATTCAGGCTGGTGGTCCCCCCTGTTAGACCCCATGAAATTCCTTTTCCCAAAGTCTGGCTTTTAGACAAAAACAGCCCTCAGGGACTTAAGATAGCTAAAAGGAGTCATTCTTATCTCTATAAGGGACATAAGGCCGTTCCATTAACCTATGCCTGAGATGCTATTAGCATATCAAGATCTAAGCTAGCCTCAAGGCTCCCTCAGTCCCAACTCACAAGCACTTCTACAGAGTCACCCTGGCTGGCACACCAACCCCCACCCTAAACCTCTCCAGCTCCCGAGCTTGTCTCCCCTTCCCCAGCTTCTCTCTCCTATATAACCTCAATTTGGCTACTCGCTCTCTTGGCTCTTGCTTCTGCTTTAGACTCTATTCCTGGACCTATCTCCTCTTTCCTTTCTTGCTCTCCCCCTCTCTCCTCATGGCCAGGTCTACTCTGTTAGACATGTTCAGTCTGGACTTCTTTTGATGCCTCTGGCTGTTCTCTCCTTAATCTACAGTAAACCCTTCTCCTCAACCATACCTTGTAGTAGTTATATCCTCATTTTCATTTAGTCCCAGATTTCAGGAGGCTGAGGCACAGGAATTGCCAATTCCAAGTAAACCTGGGGTAGAAAGCTAGACCCTGTCTTAACTGCTTTCCCCACCAAGCAGACCACTTAGTAAAGTAAATTAAATTAAAAGCTTCATTTACCATTCAAGTTATATCATTACGGGTTCAACAAGTGGAAAGTAAGGTTACTGCTATACCATGGCCTAAAAACTTGTATTGTTTTGCAGTCTCTCAAATGTATGTAACTCTCAATTGCTACTATCTTGTTATTTCAGATTATTATTAAATACAGCCTGCATACTCATTAGAAAAGAAATACTCAAAGAGAAAAACCCAGCGCACTCCGGAACAGCAACCAAAGAACAACTCAAATCTATCTGCAACTCTCCAAAGAGTCATGTGTGACACGAAAAAAGAAAAAAAAAAAAAAAAAAAAAATCAAAGCATTCTCATAATTCTAAATAAAATTGGTTTGAGCCGGGCGGTGGTGGTGCACTTTAATCCCGGCACTCGGGAGGCAGACTCAGGCAGATCTTCGTAAGTTCGAGGCCAGCCTGGTCTAACAAAGGTAGTTTCAGGACAGCCAACGCTGTTACACAGAGAAACACTGTCTCGAAAAACAAAACAGAAACAAACAAAAATTTTAGTTTGAAATCAATCTGAATACAAAAGGTAAGAAATGTAACCACCTATAGGCTAAAAGCACATATTCGGAGAACTATGAACTCATATTAATAGACCACATTTAATTCTGTTCTCGTTGAATATTAGACTTGTTTACGATGATGTTGCTTGGTAACAGAAGCACGGCTTTAACACCCTGCTCAGTTCTTTAGACAGAAGTTTAGTAGTTTATACTAACAGTCTGAACATACTATGAACTCGTCCTATATAAAAAATTCGGAACAAATTTTATCCTTATCCTAGACATCTTTGGGAAGGACTTGCCTTGATAATTTGAAGGTGACCAAAGCATTTTTAAAAGTCAAGTGTCCTTTTATGATAGACACTGGACCAAAACTTTGCCCAAGTATCAAGCCCAAAATACACCTAACACATTTCAGACCTCCCCGCAGAAACACCTGCACACACCACTGCTCCAACAGTCTTTACGGACAAGGAAAATGACAGCGTAGCTTTCCCACCACCAATTAAACTGGAGGTGCTTTACCCTGAGCCGAATTGCCCAGCTGGCTACCATGCCGCAGTGCACCAAAAAGGCGCGTAAGGTGTTTCGCGTGCTTTACAAAAAGAGGGGAGAGGAAACCATCCAGAACTCGTCTCAGGGCCTGCCTTCCTACCACGCGCTCCCACTACTTTACCAGGAAGCAAAACCCGGGATCAAGGGCGGGCGGGGTGGAGGAGCGCTGCAGGATTCGAACCAGACACCCAGCACGCCTAAAAGAAAAAAAAAAAAAAAAAGAGAGGTTACTTACAAAACTCACACTCGGTCCCTGCGGCTCGCCTCCGGGGGACCCCGGCACAGCTCCGACCACCACCAACCACTCCGCTCTGCTCGCCCAGGCATCGGGGCCGCGGGGTCCGCACGCTGCCAGCGCTGGGGAGTCGGCCCGGCCCGCCCCGCCTGGCCGGGCCCCCGGCGGCCGCTCGCACGGCGGGCTGCAGCCGAGCCGGGCCGTACGCGAGGGCACCGACGCCCGGGGCTTAAAGCCGCGGTAGCCCGGGAAACTCGGGAGGGCCGAGAGGGCGGCGGCGACGAGCGCGGCTCCTCCTCCGCGGCCCGGCCTCCTCGGCACACACGCCGCCTCCTCAGCCCGCCGGCCGCCACCCCCGAGCGCGGCCGAGCCGACCTCGTCCGGACGCGCGGCGGCTGCGCGGGGCGGGAAGTCCCGCCCCCCGGGACGTCATCAGCGCCGCGCGCCGCCCCGGCCGGAGCCGTTGGAGAGGGAAGTGGGCGTCGGTTGCTCGGCGGCCGCTGCTACCGTGGGAAGAGTGGGCACGTCACTCCGGGACGTCCCTGTGCGCCGCCCCCGAGCCCCGCGAGCGCCGGCAACGGCAGATCGCTCCCCGGACACTCGTGTCGAGGCCCCCGGGGCGCTGAGGGACGCTCCTGCCCTCGTCCCGCTCTTGTCACACTCTCTTGTCTGAGGGCTTGGGTGGCGCTCTCCTCGCCGCCTCCGTCCCCGCCCGCCTGCCGTCGTGCCTGCTGGGCGGATTTTCGAGCTCTGGCACCCAGTCAGCCTGCGAGTGCGCGGTCGCCCTAGCTTGCGACCAGCGAAGTCCGCTCAGGACCGCCTGCCCCAGTCGCATCCTGTAGGCCCCCCACCCAGGCGTGACAGGCTGAGCTCCTGGTCTCCAGGCTGTAAACTAAATTGGCACTTGGAGCCAGCTCTGACAGAATTTGTAGCAGGAAAGTCGAATGAACTAGGCTTTCAGCGGTTCCAGGTAGGCGACGGGAGAACCAGGCGTCCTGTCTGTACTCATGCCTGGAGGAGTGAGGACCTTACTGTGGGCTTGGCTTCTGACGGTGCACCGAGAAGCGTAGGTTATGTTGTATCCGGCCTCTGAGGAGAAAGGCAGCTGAGCTGTCACATCTTTCTTGCAATGGGAGTGAGGAGCGTCAGAAGTGTACTTTAACTGGAGGTTTGTATAAATGGGGTACGTGAAGGACACATTCACGATCAGAATAGAGAAGACAGAAATCCTCTGTGTGTGTGACATTCACAGTAACAATTTGCCGAATGTTACTGTATCAAGTGCCACCACATTTTTTTAATGGGACAGAAACCCTTTTAAGATTTATTTACTTATTATGTATACAGTATTCTGCCTGCATGTACGACTGCAAGCCAGAAGAGGGCACCAGATCTCATAGATGGTTGTGAGCCACCATGTGGTTGCTGGGAATTGAACCCCAGTGCCTTTGGAAGAGCAGCTAGCACTCTTAACCCCTAAGCCATCCTCTCCATCATTTCATATATTATGTTAGCCCCTAGTTCTTTATGTTCAGTTGTGTATTACAGTTTTCCAAGACCCTGAAATCAAATCAGTAATAATCAGTGAAAGTATCCGTTAGAAATCATTAACAAGTGAGGAGATGACTGGAGAAATGACTAACAATTGAAGAAAAGCTTTGCTTTTCACACAAGAGGAAATACTAGATGATCACTTAAAGAAAAAAAAATAAGCTATTAAAAATAGAGGAAAATCTGTTGGTTTAGAGCATTTGCTGCTTTTCCAAAGAACCCAAATTCAGTTCCTGGAATCCAGGTCCTGCTGCTCAAATCGGCTTGTAACTACAGCTCCAGAATGGTATGACACCTTTGGCCTCTGAGAACTCTTAGACTGATGTGCACCTACTCACATGTAGACACACATAATTTAAAAATAGCAATGTTTTTAAATAGAAAATCAAGGTGACTATATTGATAACCTTGAGGTTAGAAAGGTCTTTTCCAAGTAAGAAATAATAAATAACAAAGAGTGTAATACATCCGTAAAATTGAAAATAGTGGGCCATAGAAAACTACCTTTGTATCATTTGCAAAAAGCAAATATTCCCAACATACAGTTCATAGAAAATCAGTTATAAATTTCAACACTTAAATAAGAAAAATTTACAAAAGAGAGGTGACACAGGTCTGTAATCTCAGCACGCTGGCTGGTGGGGTAGAAGTTTGAGGTTATCTTGGGCATAAGTAAGACTTTGACTCAAAAGAGAACATTTTCCAAAGATATTTGTGGCACTCTCCAAGAAATATGCCCAGTTAACAAATGAAAAGGTGTCCAACTTCCCAACAGGTCTATTTTGCCTACCAGTATTGACAGAGCTGTGAAAATACAATCCCCTTTGTGAGCTACTTGTGTGAAAGTGATAATAATATAATCTGACTTATTAATATAAGCATTATCCTCTGTCCCATTTGAAGAAAAAAAAATGAGATTCCTAGGGATATTGGCTATCTTTTTTTTTCAAGGCAGGGTTTCTCTGTGTAGCCCTGGCTGTCCTGGACTCGCTTTGCAGATCTATCTGCCTCCGCCTCCCTGAGAGCTAGAATTACAGGCATTCATCACTACACCCAGCTGGCTATCATTTCTATATTACGTACTTCTAGTATATAATATCACTAGGACACACAAAAAATATGGTGTGTGCATGCAATAGAATACTCTTGACCCAATAAAGCATTCCATTACGTATGTCCATAGAATCTGGGTTATATTTGCCTAAGGAAAAAAGCAAAATGCAGATCACAATGAACAGAATATGAATGTATGAATGTGATATATATAAATATGAGTACAAAAATCTAAAAATGTGACTGATTTTTATCTTTTGGACATTTTAACCTTTAAGATTTTTTTTAATTTTTGAGTTTTATGAAAGTTATGTCATAATTTTATTGCTTAACTAAAGATGTGCCTGACAAAGGAAAACTGCAGGCCCACACAATTTTGTGATCTTGGGAGCTGAGTCGAGGGCTTTTTTTTTCCATAAGTTTTGCTAGCTTACTTACAGATCTGAAAGCCAACTCTCCACTTGTATATCTTGATTCTGACTTTTCTTCCTGAACACATTTCTTCTGTATTCCCTATGTCCCTCATTGTATTTTTCACAGTATCTTGTAATTCCATCTACCACAGCTTATTTTTGCTCCTTCTGCACATCTTTCTGCTATGTATTTCACATTTCCTTTTTCTTCTCCGTTATTTGCTTTTGTATTTGTAAATTTACACACTGTAAGTGCCAATGCTAATAGAATTATGTAGCTTTGATACTTGGGTTACTTATGCTAGTAGTAAATGAAATAGACACTTTTTTAAAGAAAGCTGCATGAGTTTGGGGGAGAACTCCGTTCTTGCCAGCATGTGGGAGACCCAAGGGAGGAAAGGTGGGAGGCAAGGCAGGAGCTGAGACAAAAGGGAAAAAAAAACATTTAAATAACTCAGTATAGAACAAATTGAATTTGTAATTAAAAACCTGGAGAGGAAACTCCAGGCCCACATAGCTTACTAATGAATTTCACCAACCCTTTAGGTAAAAAGTTCCAGTCCTATCCTGTTTCAGAAAACAAAACAGTAAGAAACCCTCTCCAGTTTCACAAGTTCAGCGTAATCTTAGTACCAGAATTTGTCAAAATCATTTTATAAGAAAATCACAGACCAATATTCTTCATAAATACAGACTTTTAAATTCTTAAAATATTAACAAATTAAAGTTTACAACATAGAAAATTAGCATGACCAAAGAGGATAAAATTTAATATGGGGCAAGGGCTCAAAACATTGGATGAAACAAGAATAAAGCAAAGCCATAGTCCCAATAGATGCAGAAAAAAATGTACAAAACTGAAAAAAATGTTTAAAAGTCTCAGCAAGCTAAGAACAGAAGGGAACTTCCTCAAGCAGACTGCTTAATTTTTGAAACCTTAATGGTTAAATAGGAAATCTGATTCGACAGATTAGGAATAGCCTTGAGACAAAAGTTTTTTTATCAGATGAGGTGGCACACACTTGCAGCCTCAGCTACTTAGGAAAGCAATGTGGGATGATTACTTGAGGCTTTAAGTTCAAGACCATAACAAGTTCTTATCTCAAAATAAAATTTTTTTTTGTTGTTTCCACACTTCCGTTAAGGACCTAGGAGACCCTAATTAAAACAATTAAGCAAAAAGACAGTGTCTGTAGATTAGAAAAACTCAGTTCCTGTTTTCAGAACTTGACACAAAGCTATAAGATGGTACTGGGAAGATTTTTCTGTAGATAAAGTGCTTTGGTTGCATAGACATGAAGAGTTGAATTTAGATCTCTCCACCCATGTAAAAGGTAGGCACAGCAGCACACATCTGTAATCTAAGTGCTCATGGGTTAAAAGCAGATCCTGAGGGCTAGACAAAACAGCAAGCTCCAAATTTAGTAAGAGACCCTCTCAAAAAAAGATGGAAATGGATAGAGGAAGATGCCTAACATAAACCTCCTGTTTTCTACTCATGTTGGCACAGGTAAGCATATACCACACACAGAGGACAAATGGCAGTACTGTCATAAATATAGATTGTGTAAATAAGTAAAACATAATTGAAGGTTCAGAAATATATGTTTATGATCCAGTTAGTTGGTTTTCAGGGTAAGTGTTGAGATAAAGTAAGAAAAAGAAATGGCAAACTAGATATCCACATATAAAAAGAAGTTACAAGTGTTTTAAGATGAACAAGAGTCTGACATCTGGCCTAATGCTGCTGCTGGGAAACATGTCTGGTTTGGTGGTCCTATCACAGCTGGGGTCTGTCTTGATGTCCAAGGCCTTTGTTAACACCAAAGAGCAAGGGAGAGCTGGCTATGGTGTTGTGGGTTCAGAGAGCTGTCCTCAATGCTGTGAGTGTAAGAAAGCTAGTCCTGCCCTCACTGGCTACATCCCTGGAGAGAGCAGGCCCTGCACCTTCCATGGCAGCATAGTACAGCTGGCCCTGATGCTGTGAGGGTGGGGGAGCTGGCCCTGAGGGCAGGAGAGCAGGAGATCTGGCCCTGCCCCCTTGCCTGTTTCAGCACTGGGTGAGCTAGCCGGGGCAGTGCTAGAGAGCTAACCCTGGTAATAGGTGCAGGAGAACTGATGGCCTGACCAACTCAGCTACCACCCAGGCCTAGATCCAGAGCTTTGACTTGGCCTACCCCAACTTATACCTCACTTATGAACTGCTGGAGCATGTGAAGGGACTGGTCCTGCCAATCCACAGCTTCAGGACCTCCATGACATGGGGCAACAACAGGCTATTGAAGAGCAGTCCCTGGGAGGATCCAGTACTGATGGTGTAGGAGCCAGAGACCTGGAACCAGACC